TTATTAAAAATACAATTGTAGAACGTCTTGAAAGTCATAGGTATGCAACAAAATTATTACATTTATATGTTTAGAAAAAAATAATTGCAAATAATTTTGCTGTTTTAGTTACAATATTAAAATTTTTTCAATACAAAAATAAATGTGAAGTGAATTACACTTAACACATAACGCTATATTCTTCCATTTATAATTTTTTAGAAGATAACCTAATTCTTCCCACAATTTGCTTCTAGGTCTTCCAACTTAATCATTTTTAAACCTTAATAAAGAATTTCAAATATTTTAAACTATTTAAATTTCAAAGAAAATGTACACTCATGGCCAGACATGTCCACACCCACGTCCCCCCAACACATGTGCTGCCATGACGACACGTAAGTTAAAAAAGGACAAAAAGTCTAGGCATATGCAAGCAAGAGTGTATAGGTTATAAAAACGAACAAGAATTTAGAATAACGCATGCGCAGTACACAAGATGTAATTTACCTTAAATACGTATAAAACCCGCAGTAATATACAGTCCCAACCCTGCCCCTACCAAGGTTGCATAATTTAAAAAAACTTTAAAATGGGGGGTCGGACAAGGCCGAAAGTATTTAGCGCACAAAGACGCATGAGAGCAGCAACAATGGTTCACGTCATATGTCCGATTCCTCTAACTTTCGTAAAAATTTCACTCCCTCCTCCCTTGCATCCTTTATTATGCCTCAGAGATTCCCACCAGAAAGGTAAGCCTTTTTGGCAGAATTTTTTACTTCTTTGGAGTTGTGCTTGGACGAGGTGCTCAACAACCTCAAACTGCTGCTCCAAAAATCCAAGTATGGCACACCATTCTTTGACCAGGTTATGATCTTCATATGTCATTTCGTTCTATACAGACACTTTTATTTTGACACTAGTTTATAAACGTTCCAAAAATGCATTTTTTTACACTTAAAAACGCTCAAAAACTAGAGATAATCCAATATTCTAAAGATCAGATTCGGATTCTATGCACAAAATCCATATGAATCTGTTGTAATATTGTGGTCAACAAAATTTTATTGGTCAGTGTTATGTATTTTAAAGAATCATCAATTTGTTTGGAGCGTTAATGTAACTTAATCTTCCACATTCTGTTTTCTTGGATATTACTATACCAGAAATTGTTATTTTAATTATATTAGTGCTAAATTTTTATTAACCCCCTGCCGTTTTAAGTGACAGTTATCTTCAAAAATAGACAAGTGGAACCTATAGAGTTGGTTTTGACTAATCATACACGGAGAAAAACAAAGGAGAGCCACTTGTTCACTTTTTGTCGTTTCACCTTCAGAAAAGCTAACCCGCTTGCCTCAAAATGCATACTCATTCACCCTTCGAGAAGCGAACGGCTCACTTTCTCAGCGGTCAAACAGCTGACTCTCATTTAAGACTACTGCTTTACTGGATCTCGATTATCCGAACTGACCAAGGTAGGGCCAAGTTCGGATAATACAGGTTTAGTCATATTGATATTAGTACACTTTTCGAATGAAATCATAAATCTTTTACAAATGTTAATCAGCCTCTCTTTCATAAAATCTATGATCTTAAAAAAGAAGTTAGGAATTTTGTAATGATGGATTTCCGCGCGTCATTAGACACTCGCGTGCACCTTCCACATTATCGAAACGCTCATAAAACTTACTAAGAAAAACTCTCAAAGGGAGATTCCCAACCAACAAGAATCACTGGTGCATTTGTGATTGACAAGATTTATAATACGACTCACCTACGTTGACCAAAAGACTGCCGGATGACGACGACGCTGACAGAATATAGTCAAGGGTACTGTAAATCACTTTAGACTACTGTTAATTAACTACTATTTATTATACTAATTAGATATTAATACTGTGCAACTGCACTAATACAATAAACGACAAGTAATTAGTATGTACAACTGCGAACAATAATGACTTGACTCGACCACTGTGAAATATCGACTGACTATCGACCGCCAAAACTGCCCAAAATCACCACCAAAAAGAGGGCGTGCTGTCATCCATCCTTGTCAACCCCTGTCGCTCCATCCTTCTCGTTGACGAATTTGGCGGCAACCTGTCTCGGGAAACGGGATCCAACGCTGACAATGAGACCTTTACTCTACACACACGTGCGTGAATTCCTATCTCGAGACTTGCTATGAACACCTGTTCATATCACGCTGACAACAAACGAACAGCTGACTGATCGAGAGGGGTAAGACGCTAACTCACGAAATTTAATATAAGTAATGATTCACATCGTTACAATTTTTAAACAACAAAACAAAAATGACAAATTTCTTTCAACAAAAATAATCTAAAATTATCACTTTTAAAAAATAAATAAATATTTAAATATATTGTTAAAATATAATTGAAATTTACAAATAAATTATATGTAGAGAGTATAATAATTCTTTTGCCCTGTTTGATTTTAAATAAATAAATTATGAATTTGTAAACCTCTATAAGCGAGAAAAGCGCCCCTGGACCTTCGTAAGTATGAAACTGGAAAAATAAGCAACCTCTATAAGTAAGAGAAAATTGTCCATGCCTTGAATTCTCGCTTATTTATAATAATAAAAATATAAATACATTAATAAAATAAAAAACGAATTTTTAAAGATTTCTTTTAAATGAATTTTGTTATTTGTGCTTTGAAAAATTGAATCTATTCGTTTTTTAGCGAAATTTGCATGATAATTGATAGTAAAAAGGTTTTTTTAAAATTATTATTAATGGGGTAAAAATTTTTGAAGTTACGGACTTGGATAATGTATATCTACGTACAAATTTTTCTTATTCGTGAGACAACTACGCGATATAAACTTAGATTGGAAAAATCTTATAACCGGCAAAGGGTTAATTATTATTAGTAAATATTAGAGGTGTGCAAAAAACTCGATGCTCGAATGAGATTTTTCGTTTTTCGAGCCGAGCTATATAAAAAAAAGCTATATAAAAATTTTTAAGTACTCGAGTATATTCGAGTACTTGTGTTAATTGAATTTGAATATTCGAATGTTTGTAAGCTATTTACTATTTTTTCATGAGTTTGTAATTTCAAATATTGGGAGAGGGTCTCAAGATGGTTATCAAGTAAAAGGAGTGTCGGTTTTGTTACTGATGAGTGAGTGTGTTGAATAAAGTGCCTCATATACTGAACAAAAGTTTCTTGCGTCATCCAACCGCCATTAGCAAAGCCAATGGATCTTGGCTTACAATTGTCCAAAAAGGTTGATTGCATATTTATATATGGGAATAAAAACATGGCCGGAATGAAATTGCCAGCGGCATTCACTGTTAAGGCCATAGTGACACTGCTTTCTCTTTCTGCACTCGCAATTTGTCCGACTCTTTTTTGTCCTTTTGTTGCAATGATCTTATCAACTCGTGTGAGCACAGTGGGGAATCCAGTCTCATCCATATTATAAATGACCATTGCATCAAATCCAATTTCCAAAAGTTTACTTAATTCATCTGCAAAAATTAGCATAAACAATTAAAATAAAGTTAATAGATACAAAATTGAAACCAAAGGAAACGAAAATTACTGAGGAAGTTGTCCACATTAGTTTTACAACAAGCTTTCACTCTGTGCAAAGAAGTATGTTCAGGTGTCCTCAAACTTATTTTTTGGTGACGACTCATGAATTGACGATACCACTTCCTACCAGCTGCCTGTGTGTCATTCCACTCTTTGGGATAATCAACTCTCAGTTTTGAGGCATATTCAAAAGCCATACGTTGAAGATCTTTGATGCTGATCTCATAGCAATAGTCAGCACATTTTTTTATGTACTGAACAAGAGCGGTTTCTTGCTCTGGCGTAAAAACCTTCAAAAAATACACAAATTATTTAATTAATAAAGATCATTAAAATTAAAAGAAAAGTAGAAAAAGCCCAAAATAAATTATTACCATTCTTTTAGTTGACAGTCCACTGTAGGAAACTTTGCATTGCAATAGTTAAAGTAACGTATGTTCTTCAATGTTGACGAAGTCAATATTTTCTTCTTCAACTTTTTGAATGTATCTACTCAAGCTTGTTCTCGGTATTTCGAACGATCTGGCCGCTGTCGCCACTCCAACGTTTCCAACTTTCACAGATTTAATTGCTTTTACAAGTTTTACATACGCAATATTAGCACGATCTGATATGCGTTTGTAAAGCCCAATTTGAAATTAATTAAATGTTTATCACACTTCTTACGAAAAAAACTGCGTTTGTTTACTTTAACGGCCTCTAACAGGAACTGTTTGTCAACAGCGTTGGACAAACGACTGACTACAACACCCCTAGCGGCTACATAAGAAATTTCAAATAACGATCAGAACTGTTGGTAATTATATCGACAGATTTCAATTCTCTATTGATAACAATACAATTTTGAAGTAGAAAAAGAAAAAATTTTAATTATGAGGCTTAGAGCATTATTAAAAAACTGTAACATTGAAAATAAATAAAATTAAGAAATTAAGGTGTGATGTCCGTCTTAGGACCACCAGACTGTCCATCTTAGGACCAATGACTCAATTTTTTTTGGCGTAAATAAAAAATAATTTACAAACACAGTGTCAATCGAATCATTTTAGAATACTATTATACGATAAATAAATGAGGTTATTACGATATGCACTTATTCGAAATCAAAAATATAGATAGTTTTACCGACTGAAATAAAAACTATTACAAAACTTTTTATGACGAAAAATCCACGTGATATGTGTTACAGGAAGAAAAATAATTCTTTCCGATCCGGTTTGTCCATCTTGGGGCCCTCTACCCTAGTCATTCATTTATTTGTTGACTCATTTAGTAATTTTTCAAAACAATAAAAATTGAACGTTTAAAATGCCGAATTCATTCGAGTACTCGATACCTTGAGTTAAGCTTGGGTTCGACTCGGCTCGGACATTTTAGCTTTTTGCACACCTTTAGTAAATATTGAATAAATAATAATAAAACATAACTTTTTTTTCATACAGTACATTGAAGCCTGCAATTTAGAAAAAGCCAAATTGCAATCAGATCCAGTAATCTATTATGAAGCCTGGCAGCAATTATGCAAATGCGAGTAAGTTTTTATTTAAAATATTATCTTATTTAACTTAATATCTGCTTCATATAACTGTACCCTTAGTGAAAAATTCCACCTGTTCGACGCTATACAAAAATGTTGAAGAAATTTTGGGTACCAAATTCCACACTTTAAATTTAACAACAGCTTGTAAAGACTAGTTTATTACATTACTAGTTCATCATACACTGAAAAAAAAGTTCATTGAATCAAGTAAATGCATTTACTTGAGATACTTTACTTGAATCAAGCCAATATCATCTTAATGGAAGAAATTTATTTTCTTGTGCCAAGTAGTTATTAGCATTGGGCAATGTACTTGACATAAGAAAATGTGAGTTCCATACAAGCAAATAATGTTATTCTTTCAAAAAAAATATTTTACTTGGACGAAGTCCCAAAAAGTATTGAGACAAGAATATTATGTTCTTATGTTAAGTAAAGTACGTGGAATCGTTTAGTTTCTTGAATCAAATCACTTTTTTGTTCACTTTAAAAACAGTTTTTACTTAATCCAACACTCATAGTCTTGAGACAAGAAAATCAGAATATTAATATAACTAAATATTTGTTTAAATTATATAAAAAGTTATATTGCTTGAAATAAACACGAATTAAACTAAATATTCTATCTACTTAGTGCATTTCTATATAATCGTTCTTGAATTAAGAATTTAGTATTTGGCAGAAGTAAATATGTTATTATCGCAACCCAATATTTTATTTTCCCGAAGTACCAAAAAGTATTCAATCAAGAATATTAGGTTATTAAGCAAAATAATAAAATATTGTCTGAAGAATTTTCATTTCTTGAATCAAATAGTTTTATGCATTTGCTTTGAATTAACTTTTTACTTAATACAAATCCCGTATTCTTGATCCAAGAAAATATTTCTCTCCAAATGAATGTGAAACTTAAATAGGAATTTTTGAAAACCATCAATTGAGTCAGGATGGCATAGTGGTAAATTCAAGTAAATATTTACTTGTATTGGAAAAATATTTTTTTGGTTCAACTCCATAAGTTTTCTCAAGTCAAGAAAATATTTTCTTGAGTTAATATATTTTACATTTCTTAGAAGTCAATAAACTTCTTAGACGAATTCCATATTTTCTTGGACCAAGAACATATCGTCTCCTCACAATATAAATAATATTTTGATTTAAATCTTGTCTTACTTGATCCAATATTGCAAAGATTTGAATGAATCAAATGAAACAATTGATTTGACTACATATATTCTCAGAACAAGAAAATATTTTCTTCCTTTAATGTATTTTACATTTGTTACAAGTTGATTAATATATTGCTCGAATTCCATATTTTTTTGGATCAAGAATATATGCTCTTGTCCTAAATATACTATCTCAAGACAATCATTTACTTGAACCAATGCCGTAATTGACTTGTCCCTATTCAATTCCACGGTTTACTTGAAGCAAGTAAAATTTTCATGATTCAATACTATTTTTTTTCAGTGTAAGTTGTTGAAAAAATTGAAAAATTAATTTGTAGTTTGTTAGAAAAATTAAAAACATATCAACTGTAATCAACTATACTGAAACTTGATGAGTTACATGTTTTAAGGGGAGGCACCACCTTTTTTTGAGTCCTGTAAATTTTATTGATGGCCAGAACTTATATATCTTTTTAATCCTTTGAGTTCTGAAAACATACAGTATGGTCAAGAAAACAAAATGTTAATTTTTGACCATTTTAGAATTTTTATTTTTTGAAAAAATTAAAATTTTTGAAAATCCATATGAGAGATTCTGAAGAATCATTAAAAAGTGTTGAAAAAATTTTACGATGAAAAATACTTAAAATTGTGAAAGAAGATACATATTTAAAATATTAATTTTTTTAAGACTTTAATTTTTAAAATGGTCAAAAATTAATATTTTATTTTTTTGACCATCCTATGTTTTTAAAACCCAAATCCCTGGCTGATTTCATTTACCCAATATCCACCCAGCTGGGTGAATATTGGGTCAACATTAAGAATAACGTAAAAAAATTGATAAATTAGCTAAAATTGTTCAAAAAACATTTTGTAATTGAGAAATGGACTATTTAAGAGTCCACTTCTGCATAGCTTATGTTAAATTAATTGACAATTATTTAATTATTACTGAAAAAAGTAAAATTTGTCAAACCTGTCCCTTTGGATATGCACGATACCTAAAGCAAAATACGTTTCAATTCCGAACAGCGGAACGTGCCAAGATTTGAAATAATAATTAATTAAATTAATTTATTTAACAATTACAATTAAAAAAAAAATTTCAGAAAAAAAGTTGCATAATTTTTATGTCATATTCACTCCTTGTTGAGTACCTCTTCTAAATATTAACTCTTTTTATTAAGATGTGAGTCTAGGATAGTTCATCAGATTAGTAAAAAAATCGATCGTCGGAAATATTGAAACTTAAGGGAGCGGGAGGGTTACAAATTTCCAAAAAAAAAGGTCTTGACATTCTGGAGCGCGGTTAAATTTTTTTTAATTTAAAGAAAATAACCCAAGAATCACAAATAAAATATAATCTGACGATTTCCAAAAGGCAAAGTAATGAAAATCGTCTATGGAGATTAGAGTACGTAACTGGTGAACAACACGCATTTCTCACTCCGTGCCTCACCTTTCTTTTCACTTTTTCCTTATTTCTGACTCTCTCGCACAATCCCGATTCCTGACACTGCTCTTTGTCACCATGGCACCATTACAGTTGATCTCAAAACAGCTGTCGAATTAACAATATTTCTTAAAGTAATCGTCAGATTTTGGGCTATCATGACTACATCATCAAGTTGAACCATCTGTATAAAAATCTTACACGCTCAAGTATTTCAAGATAGCGATTTTTTTATCACTTCCGAAATGTCAGTCTTTTGAATGGGAGCATTTTTAGGGTTCATTTAACAACTTCCCTAAATATAAATATCCATCCAGAGGACCACCACCATCACGCAAACCGGCATATGAATATACCTTTGGTATCAGAGACACGTTGGACTGTCTAAACAATTAATATCTGACACGCTTAAGTATTTTCATGTAATTGTTTTTTTTACAATTTTGAAAACTTGTTTACGCTGTAACCAATGATTTTTTAATGATGCTGAATGTTGAAAAAATCAATTAATTAAATCAAAGTTACAAAGGGAAGACTCGAATAAATTGTTTGTTGGGCGCCAGTCCTTTCTTGGGACAAAAATAAAAATAAATAATTAAGGGACAAAAGAATTAAATTTATTAAATAAATTTTTCTTTAATCGTTGAATTATTCTGGAAAAATACACAAGGCCACCAGGCAAATTATTTTTGGAGACTGTCAAATTCGACAATTAAATCAAAATTATTTTTGATTGTCAAATTAGTCTGAAGAGTACACACGGCCACCAGGCTTTTACTCAAAGACTGTCAAATTCAATAATCAAGGGAAACTCAAAGCAAAGAAATGATTCAAAATTCAAATTAAATTAAAATAGTCTTCCTTTTACTCGGCCTGCCGCAGTCCCAATTCTTGGTTAACAATAGAGAGGGCGGTTCGGAAAAGCCATATTCGAAAAGATTTAATTTTTAAATTAAATAAAATATGAGATTTTCTAAACAAAAGGTTAATAAATTTCTATATATAAATTTTTAAACATTACAAAAAATTTGAGTCAAGACTCGATATAATGCAAAAAAAATAATTACTTATTCTTTCTTTTTAAAAGAGTAAGAATTCTTGAATTCGAGGAATGGAAAAAGATGGAAATGGATACAATAATTGTAAAATTAAATGATTGACATTTCGATCAATTTTTAAATAAAAATTATAAATTAAATTTAGAGAATTAAATTCATTCTTAAATAAATTCAAACTCAATTAAATTCAAAAGAAATCATTTTAAATTAAATTAAATTGAAATTCTAAATTAAATTAAATTCATTATTGAAAAATTTAAACAAATAAATAATTTTGAGATATCATTCATAAATGGGAAAATAAAATTTTACCAGAGAATTACAGAATCAATATTTTATCAAAATGGCTGACGGCAACGAATATCTCCAAGGATTAATTCCAATAATTCCTTCTTTTTATTAAATTTATCTCCTTATCTTCTTCTTTATTAATTATATTAAATTTCCTTTTTAAAAGATTTATTATGTAAATTTTATTATATATCTCTAATTATTATTTAGATTCCAAAATTAAATGATATAGAAATAAAAAGCGTCTAGCTTACACGAAATCACAGTAAAGAATGATAAAACAGACGTTGTTTGTTTTCTCCTAGGAGATTTTCGTTACCAACCAAAAAAAATGAATATTTAAAAAAAAAGATCGGGACAAGAAAGAAAGTTCGACGGTCGGTAAAAAGGTTTTCATCCATATCTTGACGCTGATTGGTCCAAACTGATTAAGTGCGAAATTCAAATTCGATAATAAATGTTGTTGACAAAAATTGTTTTCTTGAATAATAATAATACTTCTTCTTGATTAACGATTTTAATACGTTAATCCGACGCAAGATGGTAAATCCTTAATTCTTCTGCAATATAAATATTAATGAATTCGGAATTAATATTGAAATATACAAAGATAATGCCACACTCAAGTAAAAATCTTCAAACTTCAAATTGACATAAATCCAAAACATCAAATATATCATATGGGCTTTGGCTAACCGCAGCAGTAGAAGTTTTAAATAATAATTTAAAAATTTAAAGAAGCCTTCCAAAAATCATAATAATTTTGAGTGTTTCGCCAGGAAACGATTATTGATTATTGATGACATCAAAATTGAGGTTAAGTTGACCAATACAAAATATTCAATATAATCAATTTTTCTCAAAGTTCTCTTAAATCTTGATATTTTTCTTAATTTCTTGTTTCAGTTGAATGTTGTCTCGAAGGTACATAAATAAAAAGGGATTACAGACATTAATTCTTAATATTAAATTATTATTAAATAAGATCTTTCCATTTCTCGAATCCATAATGTG